TAATATTATTTTACTTTACGTCTAACAGTTCGCCTTAAATGTGACACAAGACAACTTTAATAATATTCCAATTTGTCGCTGTTTTTTATTGCTTAGAGCCACAGACAGCACACAGGAATGAGGTATTTACAAGCAATGTTCCTGATACCCTGAGCGTAGATGGTCGCTCAAAGTGCTGACGTTAAATTTGGATCTTGATTAAGTAAACGCAATTCTTCAAAATTACACCGCTGTGGTCTTCAAATGTGTGTCTAACTCCCAATCCATGCTCAAAATCTCTTCTTCCTCTGTGAATCTAATTACTCTCATCCTGCCTCCATCATTGTTCTCTCTATTACCTCCATCTTTGTGTTATGTGTGCACGTGTCTGTTCGTAGCGTGTGTTTTGGTGTGTATACAAGAGAGTGTATAATAACTGTTTTGTGTGCGTTTAATAATGCTGGTGGAGCAGTTGGGACACAGCTGGGCAATTTTAGATTGGAGCACAAACATCTCACAGCCGAGTGGATACAGAAAAGTCTGTGTGCGAATGGTGTGTTGGCAGCTGGATGTAAATACAATGGTGCATGAATGTTTGTAAACAATTTAGAAATGACTGCATTTGTGCTTAATTTTGTACTAAAACATTATCAGATTTCGACACAAGTTGTGAGGCTCTTAGTGTGGCAAAAATAGCCACCAAAAGCAAAAGTATTAATATGGGAAGGCAGTTAATGGAAATTAATGGAAATCTCCAGTTGTACCATTATGTGCAATTGCATTCACTATTTGTTATGGCTAAATAAATGTACTGGTAAGTCCTGTCTCTTGTGAGTTAAAGAGTATCAAACTGAATGCATGACAGCCTCATGAACACCATTCAATTAATTTTTCATTCATTTTACACTCTGCTGGATATTTTCAAGATAATAATTAATGTTAAATATTTCCTCAACAAAAGTAATTTGTGAAATGTATTAAAAATACATCAATGAGCAAATGAGTTTTGCTTTTGCACACGCCTTCCAAGATTAAATGTCCTACAATAAACTTTGTTTGCATCTTGTACCAGCTTGCTACTTATTGCCAGATAACGTTTCCTGACAAGAGAAAGGAATGCTAATGCATCACATAACTGCGTTTAAAAGGTGGTAAGGCTCACATTGGTCTGAGTCTGGTGTACACACAGTGAACAAAGATGTCTGCTATTTGTCTGACATCCATTCTCCAGTGCGGGCAGAAATATACCAAATTTGTGTCCAACCCTGAGAAATACAAATATTTTTAAATATTCAGTCAGTTTAATTTTATTGACTTATTTCTTGATTCATTCTTTTTTGTAGCCTTGAGATACACTGTCATTTTCTGATATTAATTAGAAATTAATGTAGGAGTAACATTTTAGTCTTTCTTTATAAAAACGGAATAGTGTTTTCACGTTAGCTGTAAAATTTAAGTTCCTTTCTCTGAGATTTCTAGTGCATCTTTGTATTTGTTCAAATATCTTTCCAATGCAGGTGAACCTGGAGGTACAAGGCAATCCCCTCCCTTTGCCAGCTGGGGCGTGCTTACCCTCATTGCACAGAGGGCTACAGATGAACTTGAGTTATATCTGGGAGATACAATTTCCTCCCTGTAACCCTGTAAGCCACCTCAGCAGGAAGGAATGATGTAACACACTATCTTGCAAGCTGTGATGGATCACAATTTCCGATAGGTACAACTTTCTTTTATTTTTGACTAGACCTCAACATGTGATGCATCAGCTGCCATGGAGACTTGGAACTGGAGCCTTTAAATACTTGCAACTTCTGTAGAGTAATAAAATTGCATGTCAATTTGGCCTTTGAGCACTACAGTGAAAAGCTAGATGTTAGCAGGTGTTGTGACTAATTTTGAGAAAATATTTAGCTCCTGAAAATAAATGCTATGTGAAAACTGAGCCCAAATCCATTAACTTAAGTTTAATCTTTTAGTCTTACAAAGACCAGATAAAGGTCACTGTTAAAAAAAAGAAAGATGTTTTATATATATATATATATAACAGAACTATTAGATGCCTAGGGTGTGCCATTGAAAGGCCACTGTACAATGTAGCAAAGAATGACCACTCACTGCAGTCACATGTATACAAAACTAATACACTTTGTACATCCATGGCTCCATCTTAATGAACAGCTCAGAGTGCAATTAACCTGCTGATAACCTGCTCTGAGGACGTAAACCTGTCCTTCAGAAGCTGGAGAGATAATGCAGAACAGACAGGCTCTCAGTACAAAGGTAAACAGCAAAATTGCAGCGGACTGATGTATCTTTCATGGTAAAAAAAATAAACTTCTAGGAGTTTAGACTATAAAATAATTCTGTAAAAAAATATGAGAGTGTTTTAATCTCTTCTGTTGATAAATCTTGTTTTGGCAACTTTAAGTTGCTCTAAATAAGTGAGCAGCTGATTAAGCTCAATAAAGCACAAAAAATGCCTGGAAGATACCCAAAAAAGGAAATTATTATGAAACTCTCCAAATATTAAACAACATTTTTAGCCAATATTCCTAACAGAACATACATAGGGAACAAGATATTTTCCTTTGTTTGCCACAAATAGCGCTTTCAATGCTACAAAGCCAAGGCAATGTCAGATGCTAAATTACTCTTCTACTCATATATTCTTATGTAATAAAAATAAAAATAAAATAAATGTGAATAGCAGCATAAAAATAAAATGTCTCCTCATTTGGGACATGCATCTATCTCATGGACGTTTTTGTTTTAAGACTTGAAAAAATCAGAGCTGGGGTATTTGTCAAGTGACAAGCCTTCGGGAGATTTTATGCTCCAAAGACTTAAGTGCTGCTAATACAAGACCCCACTGTGATACATGCCTGCCTGGATGCATACCCTCCCAATCAAGAATCACACTTACAGTGAAGCAGATTCCAGAAAAACATAGCACACACACAGGCAGAGCACAGACAGAGAGCTGCAGCTACTGAAACCTCAAGATCTTCTTTCTGTCTGTGGGTAAGGTGCAATTGGAAAACTGGAGCTATCGATTCAGCAGCCTGCGGGCTTTTTATAGAATCCAGCACCATCATTATGACCCTTAGCCAGGCCCAGCTTGCCTCTTTGCCTGCTTCAATGCATCCCCATCTAGGCAGAGACATTTGGTGAAGAAAAAAAAGAACTGGGGTGACAGTCAGAGCAGGGGAGCGGAAGATAATGATGGCCATCGCAAACATGGTTGAATGAAGGTGAACTGCAAGAAAGACAAATGTAGATGAGGGGAATATTTGAGAGAGAGAGAGAGGGAGAAATCGTGGAGTCTGTGGCAGACATTCAAATCAAGGGTAGATTATCAAAGATTACTGGTAAAAAAAATACAGCAAAGGATGATGAGTAGGATGGTTATGATAAAAAGGGATGTATTAAATGACACATTATTATCTGTATACATGGAAAAGAAAGGCTTGAGGGGGAAAAGGAAGGTTGCAAAAAAACAAACCAAAACAGAATATGTTACAGCCTTTAAGCTTCAAGTGATTTAAAGGGAATTTTTGTGATTATTAAGGTTTAACTTAAAGCTTAGGAAAGGTTTTGAAAGTGATGTTGAGATGCTTAATCACTTTGCACCTCGTTTCCAGAAAAAAAAGGAAGCAATTTTTACATTTAATACCTCCCAAAACACAGCTTAAGTCCTCTTGCGTCAACTTTTATTCACAAATGCAAATTTGCAGTTTTAATCCTTACTGCATGTGGAGTAACAGTCAGCAGTGGGTACATGGAAATGTGTGGAGGCGTAAAACATATGAGCACAGCCTTACAGGATCCATGCTGCCACGTTGTGTCTGTGCATGACTTTCAGAACTGCTTGAATGCACAAATGCCAGAACTTGTTATGAATAGTTATTAAATTAGATTATTTAAAGTGGTTACTTCTAATCAAATAATCATGCCCTTAATACAGCATTTATACACAGCCATTTTAAAAAATCTAATCACCATTCTCTGGCCTGTAAAAATTGATTTTCTTTTTCAAAATCAGTTTTCTCAATCATTTCTTTCTTTTTAAATGAGCAGTCTATATCAAGTGTCACCCCTTGATTTGCCATCAAGATGTGTGGATATTGACATTACAATTGATAAAGTAACGCTTCCTTGCTGCTGGAGGAAAATGATATGTATGAACTAATATTTGCATAAAACAAACTCCTCTCCTTAGAGAAAATATTCTACCAAAGGGAGAAATGTCCTTTTTCTTTCCAGAAAATTGAATATTTAAGCAAAAAAAGGTAACTGTCAGAAATTGTGTGCTCAAGGCAAATGCTTAATCTGTAAGATGTGTGTGACTCTTCCTCAGTTCTATTTTAATCACTCAGAATGAACTCAAGCCAGGTGTTTCAGAACAGCCGGCAGGGTGATCCATCAGCAAACATCTCAGAAAACTTAAGATTTTGACTTTAGTCAAATGCTATAGCATGGGTTCCCATTAGGTCTTTCATTGTAGATGATATAGACAGACAACATATGTTTAAAAAATAAGGAAGTGAAGCATTTCAATTGACTATGATGCGATGCAAGGCACAGCCTGATCAACAGCTAAAAGGACACAGTACAATCAAGGGCAACATTTTCATATCAACATGGCCTACTGCCGTAAGTATTAGCAGATCCAAGTTTAACAATCTGTCCATCTAAAACACTGCCCACTGAACACATTCAAGGCAGAGATGTGAGAGCACAACTGCAGAAAAAAAACAACTTACTTTCTTAAAATCCCACTCCTGCAGTTTTATAATCCCTTTAAACACTCATCTGTGTCCCTCGAGACAGAATTTCAAAGCATAGACATTCACACTAACACACACACTAAAACTCTCCTGACCCTAAAGTGACTTTTCACCTTTTTCTCGCTTCCCTGAATAGGGATTTACAACCTCTGATTTGGATGGAATCCTCCAAGTGTTGAATTATTTTATTCTTTTCTACACATCATAAACACTTTTCTACAAAAACACAATGACCCTAGCCGGTGGCTTGAATGAGCATCTTCAAAACTACAAAACAAAAACCAATAAAAACAACATGATTACTACCATTTCCATTTATAGCGACAAGACACTTTAACAACTCTCATTGTTTTTTATTACACAAGGATCTCCCGTCACCTGTGCCAAACTGCCTTTCACTTCTACATTCCCATTTCCTGTGATCAGTTAAGTGACGAGCAGAGTCCATGCCACTATCTATTGAGGATCACTTGAGGTGTTGAAACTTTCGGTTTGTGTCAGTGCAGAATGTTGGCCAGAAACTGTGATGCCTTTGCACATGTCAGCTCTGCTAACTGAAGTGTTGCTCCAGAGACAAACGGCGGAGTGAAAGCTGCACTCACTGCAGATACTGCTGTTGGCTATGTTTTGCCAGATGGTGGAGAAGATCTCCCTCTAACTTAGGTTTTTCCTGTTCATTTTCAGTTTTCCAGTTTATTGCGCGCACAAACCATATTGACTGTTTTATTCACTGATAAGCTTTGGTGATAAAGATGAAGCATTGTCTCTTCTGAATTGTATGCATTTTAATCTTAATCTGAGCAGTCTTTCCCTTGTTCAGACAGCATTGCGCGATAAATATAATAAATCATATGATACTGTTTGTATACAAATGCTGTTGAACTAACTGAGGTTTGGATGTTTGATCCAGCATTAAATTCAAATGATGGTGGAATGCACCAGACCTTTGAATCAAGTCCAGATCTCTCATGTTGGAATGATTATGTATAAGCCTATAGTTTTGTTTGCAGGAATTCACATGCTGCTTACCTAAAAAGGCAAAACAATTATATTTTCAGACGCAGCTTTCATTGGCAATCAAGAAATGAACACCTCAAAAGCCGCAAACATCACATTTGAAAGAAAATATCCATAACACCGTTCTGCTTGGCATCACAAAGTGTTCTGCTGTGCTTATCAAGTGCTTTTAAGAGTCAGACACTGATTGGAAGGAAATGGAAATTCAATCAGCCACTTGTGAGGGAACAACTGTCTGTATTAACCGTGATGACTCTTAGATGAGTACAATGTATGGTGACTTATCACATAAAAGCATGGCTTTAGAATTCACAATGATTCCATCCTATAAGGCAACAAGATACAAACATGGCCCTCTCTTGTTTTTAATGAGTATTTGCCAGTCATGATGCTTTTTGCCAGGTATTAACTGTAAACATTCTTTAATCAAAAACACTGCTGTGACATGGACAATCAATTCATTCAAAAGAAAGAAATTTGGAATTAAAAGAGTAAATGCAGTAGAGTTCTTCAACAGTCTCGTAGTTTCAGTAAAAAGAAAATCAGGCATATGCATGGAAGCAATTGTGTTCAGAGCACTTGCTATGACCTTAAAGACAAAGAGCTACCTTTTACTTAATTCTGGATTTCAATAGTGAACAGAGTCTACCCATTCCCTTAGTATTGAGTTTATAATGTGAGAAAAAGCTGAACTCAGCTCTGAGAATGAAAAAGCCACACACAGGCTCATTACAATGCAATAGCCTTTTCCTTACAAGCAGTTTGGTGAATTTTCTTGTTTCAAGAAGTGTTCCTTGAACTTGCTGAAATCAGGATGTCTATTAATGCTGTGAAAAGTGGAATCGAAAAGGCACCAACACAGCAGACCAGGCAACAAGTGAAAATGGACTCTTGCAACCTGCAGTTTTCAACATAAATAAAATTGCACATACTGGAATAAGTCGATACAGCTGATTGATTCATCAAGAGTCTGCAGGGAAGGTTTGAGAGGAGAAGGAAAGCACTAGAGTATTAAAGTGTTAAGAACTGTTAAGTGGATGCTGAGTTGATTGATTTTTTTACAGGATTGGTGATAAAGTTGAAGGTCACCACCTGCACCTGCCCTGTTTCTTTTTTTTCCAATTTTTCCAAAAACCCCTGGAATTAATAAATGTAATCCAGAGCTGCACCTGCCTGCCCATCTGACTCACCTTAGGGTGCTCAAACAATGCTGACATCTCAGTTGAAACTCCTGCAGCATGATATCATTTATGAAAATGTAACTGTAGTGATGCAGGCTAAAGCTGTAAGGTGGCTAAAATATTCAATATATGTGGTGTGCACTTGTAATTTCATACCTCAGCAGTTTCCTTTGCTTAAAATTAGCTCTGTTTGACTATTTAGTGTGCTTCATTTGGATATTAATGCAGATTTATTTCTGCTTTGATAACATACTGTTAAGTCAAGTGGAGTTCATGAATCTTCGTTTTCTATCACATGACCTCCACATTGCCCAAACTTGCAAACAGAGAAGCAGAGAAGGTTTGACAAAGGCTATCGAGTGTTATAGAGGACGTGACACTTGATACTCCACCTACTAAAATCTCAAACAGTTATGTAATTATTTTCCCTCTCATCCCTTCCTATCTCCTGTTCCTTCTTTTCTTTTTCCCCCAGTTTTCCATAATTTTCCTTGTTCATTTTAGTAGCAGCTTTAAAAAAAATGTAAACTGTGTGGCTGACAAATGGTGAGTCACAATGTGGGAAGATAAATCAGCCCAACTCCACAATGCTGCCAACAACCTCTCTTTCCAACCTCTTTCTCTTCTCCTCTCCTTGCAGGCATCATTGCATGCACCCTTGTTTTCACACATGTACACCTACACTAATCGCCTGCTTACACTCGGAGGCAAGCATCCTTTTTTCAAAAAACCAACAACCTCTGTCCTGCTTTTTATGTCATTTGAAAATGCAAGAATACAGCTCGTAAATGTGTGCAAATTTACACTCGAATACCAAGATGCCACACTGAGCTTGTAACATTATTTGCATGTTACAATCCGTAAAACTGCAGGCGGTATTAGAGAATAGAATGGAGAGCTATTTTACTGAGGTATGACTCATTCACCCCAGAAACTACAAATGGTGAAAACAACCAGAAACAACGTATCCCAACAAGTAGAGAGAAGCAGAGAAGCAAGAGGAACATAAATAATGAAACCCAAAATACCAGAAGTCAAACAAAGACCTGCACAGCTTGAACGTCTCACAAAAACATGTGATTGTCTTCTAATGATGGCATCACACCATTAAAGCTATACAAGGTAACACAAACCATAGGGACCATACAACATCTACTTGTGAGTGCTACTTCAGTTCAGCTAACATAGAATATTTCACTCTAACTTTAACGTATAGAAGTGAATATATTAAAAAAATATATATATTTTTTTCGAACTGCAACATCAGATTGTGCTCAAACATCTCCTTAGTTCCAGAAAAGTATAAAGGCCATCCTCCATGTTTATCTGGCAGTGACAGGCTTTAAAAAAAAATGGAAGGTGCTGTCTTAGCTTACAGGTCTGTTTACATTTTAGAACATAGCAACAATTAGATACATAAATGAATATAGCCGCTTGACTGTTTTATCATTTTGGTCAGGGCGCTCTGGCGCAGGACTGAAAGGTTTTCCAAAAACGCCTATGTTTGTGTGCCGTGCTTTGTTTGGCCCTTGGGTACAACTGTAATGCATTTTTAAGGTTTTCTGGAGTAACTGGGTCTAACCTCACGATGGCCGACACATAGAGAAAAAGAGAGCAACATTTATTTCTGGGAACCATAACTCAATGACAGAAATGGAAATAGACTTCACATAAAAAACCAACACCCTGCAAACAACTGTAAGCCAACCAGATCATTTGAAAGAAAAGCCACTGTCAATTTTTTTCTGACCGAAAAACTTGTTTGGATGGATTTGATGATCTATTCGCAAAACACAAGTGTAGCTATTTTTTAGCACACAGTTATCAACCTCAGTCTGATTAATCAACAACACATTCGAATAAAAAAAGAAATTACTCTTAGCAAATTTCCTGTGCTTCTCAGCTCCACTCCCAATGTAGTTACACAAACTGCACCTCTGCTTCACTGCTTGCCCCTCTTTTTATTCCCCTTTGTTAATTTTCTCATCCAAAGCTTCCGTTGTTATAAGAAGACCCAGCAGAATCTCTTTATATCTGACTCACGGAATTTGTTACATTGTGTTGTGTATTTTCTTTTTTTAATCAGTCTTCCTCATCATTCTGGGGCCTGAAGACCAGATAAAAGAGCCACCAGTCGGATCGAGTATGAGATGAAAGACCTTGGGAAAATATCAATAATTGTCTATTAAAGTGCACTTAAGGTGATTTTTTTTTTTTTTAAAGGAAGCGTGTATACAGGGAAGCTGTATGTCAAGACCACTGCTTGCCATGATTTTATTGACAATCATGCAATATGCAAATAAACGCTTTTCTTCATGTTTAAGATGGTTCATTTTTAGGAGCACAGGCTTCAATATGGATAGTAAGATTTCCGTTCCTTCTATTTCAGCACACAGAGAACCAGAATGATACAACAATAACATCATATCTGTATTATGCATATATATTTGAAGAGCTGTCCTGAAAGCATATGCACATATAATCGAATTAAGCTTGTTATGTGAGACTATTCTGATTCTGACAGCCATTGTCTTGCAGCAGTAACCATCTGAGCCTTATGGTCAAACTGAACAGTGTGTTTAAATGACATCTGCCAAAAACCTTGTTTACTTCTCCAAAAATGTGGTAGAATTTATTCACTTCTCCCACATCCTGCACCTACTCATCCAGCAACACAGGTGAGGACATGTGGGTGAAGGCCAGGTATACGTGTATTGTAGGTGGCACTATGCTCCACATCAACTGTTTTGTTTTCTTTCCAGAGGTTCCAAGCTCCCAAATATGCAGGTATGTAAAGGATGTAAAAATAACTAACTGGATTAACTTAGAACCTGCCCTCTGACTGGAATTTTAAACACGAAACATTAAACTGTGGTAGATTTTTCTCTGTAACTCTTTTTCAAAAGAGATTTGAAAAATGTTTGAGTAGTTTAAAAGATTTCCTCTCACTGCAATCTGTATCCTTGAAAAGGCAGTCAGCATCCACAAAGCTCTGACTGAACCCTTTCAGAAACTCATGTCTGTGTCCTTGGCAGACTCCATTGCGTTCTCAAATGTGAATGCTTCTTTTTCAGAAAATCAAGTTTCTTTGCTTTAGCTTCATCAATTCAGATATATTCATATGAGTGAAAACTATCACTCCCGCCTCTCAGAGGTGATTAGGAGCATAATCTGAAATCAACTGGTTCAAATTCCACAAAGTTTGTGACGGAATAAAAACTAGAAAAAGTGACAACAAGAGTCCCTTTGTCTCACAAGCGAATGTCTAGACAAAACGCTTGGACGGCTCAAAGTCTGACTGCTCCAGGCTCAGGCAATGAGGTGAGGAATCAAATTAACAAGGGAAGCAGCTGGCATTGGTAGAGCCCTTTGGCAAGGGTCTGTTGTTTTGCTGATAGACCAAATGAGTTAGCGAGATATAATGTGCGGCGCTGCGCTGTTTCACCTTGTGACACGGACGACAGTCTCTGCACCCCTTTCGGCGCGCACCGAGGACAAATCTTTTATCCTGTTCGTTAACACATCGACAGGAAACTTGAGAAAATCCATGCGTGGGTAACACGCCTTTAAACAAAAACAAGACTTACTGCTTTTTTTTTTTACCCATCTTTTTTGTCGTCTGTTTCTATTGTCATGGAAATGTCATTTCCATTCTGGGACCACAGACTGTTGGTCACCAGAATCGTGAATTTGTTAGAATTTAAGGGGATAATTACGAATGTTCCTTTGCTTTGTATGAGTAAATGTATCCATGTTCTTAGATTTATGATTTCCAGTGTCCCTTTTTTGTCTGATTAAATAAACAGATGGGCAAGTACATCTGGGCCTTCCACAATAGTTATTTGTATTAGTGCATCCATGGCAACACCATAGAGTCAGAATCAGTTATTGCTCTGCTCACCACTTCATGCTTATCACCCAATACCGAACACACTGTCTCTGTTTCTTTGTTGCTGACCGTGTTCTCTTAAGCGAATTAAGGTTGTTAGGCGCTCGTGGACTGACTGTACATACACTAGACTTTCAAAGCTGCTGGCGAATCAGCAGGCGTCTCACAAGATGCCATGGCTCATTATTCATGTGAGCATTCTAGAAATGTGATATAGCTTTTTTTTACACCAAACATAATAAATTGACAATTTCTATTCTAACCAACACTTTATTTTCATGCACAAAATAAATCTTGCACACAATGATATTATCTTAGATGACAATATGTTGCAATGTCTTGACATAGGAACTATTTGGGAAATAAATCTTTAATAATAATTAATTGGGGGACGTGCATTGAAGTTAATTAATTACATTAAAACTTCAAGTGCTTAATCTACTGAAATCTTCAAGTGTGTGTGCACAGCATGCCTTACAATAATAGTTATCTCATATAATGTCATAACCAACCATCTAAAATGGTCCTAATCATGCTTCAAAAAGAGCTCTGACCTGTCATTACATAGACAAACTACATCCAAGTGTGCCCAGGAGAGTTTGTCAACAAGTTCTTGCAGTGTGCAGCTCGATTTATGGTTCTACGCTGTCATTAGCACAGTGCATCTGTGAACTTTTTTTGTTTCACAACCACAGAGGAGGTCACCTTAAACAAAAGATTTTCTAATAACATGGAGTCCTCCAACACCTAGTGCTGTTTAGCTTCCAATGTGCACAATACTGAGAGCACATTTAGAGCTGTGATTATCCTTTAATGTACTGTAATTCCTCATACCGGATCAATACCCTTGGGAGTATCCCAACAGCCTCTGTTTCATAGATAAAGAATATCAAAGTAGGAGGAAAAAATCATAAACCTTAACTTAGCAGATGGAGAACAACTTAAGGAGGTACTAATCAGATAATACTGCTGCTTCATCAAAAATCCTAGATTTGTACATGAAATTACAAATTATTGTAAAGAAATAATATGCAAGCCACATTAGAACACTAAAGTTATCATGTAAAAAAGATAGTTACAGAAGCTGTTGAAATCTAAACATTTGGTTGACGTAAGACTTAAAATACTAAATATGACTGAAGGATTTATGTGATTTTGACGGTTGAATAATGTTTGCATGTTTTCCTATATATCTGTCAGCTGGTGGATTAATGTTACCAATACATCAGCCCAGTCCCATGACAAAGGTGGTAATAACATTTAAAATGCAATTATTGTCATGGATTTTTCTGTTGTGTAAGGAAGCGTTGAGGAAATGTGATATATATACCATTATTTATCTATGAATTAACACCTAAGACTATGTGGTTTGATTTATATCCACAACCAAAGACAACTGGCAGTAAACTCAAATAATGAGAAGTTTTTACACAATAATGTGCAACAAGGACTTAATCTAACTTTTCTAGCAGGACTGTGTGTGGTCTACCTCCACCATGTACTTATTCCTTAATACAAACATTTTTGAACATGCCATTGTTAAAAAAATTAAAAAAATAAAACCAATTTGAAGATTTTATGAAGAAAAATGTCGGCATGCTGACATTTTCAAGAAGCAGAAAAAGAAGTGGAAAATTAAAGCAAATACAGTGGTGAGAAGATGTAAATGTGTAAAAGCAAAGTCAGAATGTTTAATAAAAATGAATGTAATTTCTTCAGCATGTATTATAAATTCATAAAATCATAACTCCCAGCGCTGAAGGTTTATTTTGTAATTAAAACATGTTCTTGATATTTACAATTATATCACTTATATAAATGCACATCCTACTGGAAAGGAAGTGTTCATTTGCCATCGACCTGTTCTCTTTGCATCTGATATTTAGATTTTTTTTCAATCAGCGCCGACATACTTTAAAGAAACTTATATTTAGCTGGGATGAATGATAAAAAAATGAATAAGAGAAGAAGCAAAACAGCTCTTTCTGTCCTATCTGCTTTTCCAGTCGTTTACTCCCGAAGCTTTCTCTGCCAGTGATGAAACAAGCAACGCATTATGTAATGTTTTTACATGCGGAGAGACGGAGCCAAAACAGCTCAGTATGCAGACATGCCTACACCTCCACCATCACGTGGAGTAAACAGCCCCACCATGCCAGATCGTATAATTCAAAAGGGCATGGAATCTGGTCTAATTAAGGACCTAAAGATAACACGTACCATTGCATCGTCGGCGCAGCTAATTGCATTTGTGGAATTCGTTTCCAGATTGGGATGTTAACAGCATAACCTCGAACAAGACAGTCCTTAGCTTATTTTGCATAATTCCCTTTAAAACAGGAAGAAAGTGGTAGACTGTGATAGTGTAAAAGAGATGGGGAAAACTAACTGCTTTGACATAAAATCATTCTAATGAAGCTCAGAAGACAAGCAGAGTGGCACAATTCCAGAAGATGAATACTCTTCTTTTCTTAAGTGCAAGAAAAGAAGGGTATGTGTTTTAACAGAAAGGCCACACAACCAGCCTACAAACAAGGCACAGAGAGTGATTTATTTGTGTAATGACTTCCTGAGCAGAGACAAGAGGAGAGATGTAGTTTGCTGCTTATGTTTAGCTCACATTCTTGTGCAGACAGAGGGTGTCACGACCACTGGTCCAGGCAACAGAGAACCCAAAAGCACGACAACTCAAACAGGCAAATAGTGAGGGAAAAACACTTTACTCAGTCCAAAAACAGGCAGGGGTCAAAACCAGGAGATCAGTTGAAGAGGCAAACAAATCCGACAAGGGGCAGGCAGG